AGATGAGGTCTCGCTGCCCAGGTGGGTCTCGAACCCGCGGGCTCAGGCAATCCACTCACCTCAGCCTCCCAAAGGCGCGGAATTACAGGCTGAGCCACCGAGCTCGGCTGAGAGTATTCTTATAGAAAACTTGAAACTGCTTTTATTCACAAAACAAATGATTCACAAGTTTTATTTTATTCATTTATTTATGTATTTATTTATTTTTTCATTATGATTTTTATTTTTTAAATTGGAATCTCACTCCATCACCCAGACTGAAGTGCAGTGGCACGCTCCCGGCCACCGCAACCTCGACCTGCTGGTCTCTGGTAATCCTTCCACCTCAACCTTCCAAGTAGCCGGAACTACAGGCATGCACTACCACACCCAGCTAATTTTGTTTTTTTGTTTATTGTAGAGACGAGGTCTCACCAATTTGCCTGGGCTGGTCTCGAACCTGTGGGTTCAGGCAATCCACTCCCCTTGGCCTCCTAAGGTGCTGGGATTACAGGCTGAGCCACCGAACCTAGCTTATTTATTTTTTGAGTAGAGTCTTATTTTGTGGCCCAGGCTGGAGTGCAGTAGCAAACTCACAGCCACCACAGCCTTGACCTGCTGGGCTCAGGGCATTCTTCTGCTTCACCTCCCCAAGTAGCTGGAATTATAGGCGTGTGCCATGCCACCACTCCTGACTATTTTTTTTTTTTTGAGTTGGAGTCTCACTCTGTCACCCAGACTGGAGTGCAGTGGCCGCTCCCAGCCACCGCAGCCTCGACCTGCTAGGCTCCGGCGATCCTTCCACCTCAGCCTTCCAAGTAGCTGGAACTACAGGCACGCGCTACCACACCTGACTAATTTTTTGATTTATTGTAGAGATGAGGTCTCACCAAGTTACCCAGGCGGGTCTCGAACCCACGGGCTTAGGCAGTCTACTCACTTCAGCCTCCCAGAGCGTGGAATTACAGGCTGAGCCACCAAGTCCGGCCTGACTAATTTTTTGATTTATTGTAGGGACGAGGTCTTGCCAAGTTGCCCAGGCTAATCCAAACCCCTGGACTCAGGTAATCCTTTTGCTTCTGCCTCCCAAAGTGCTGGCATGAGCCACCACGACTGGCTATAAGTTTTAATAATTAAATACATGTAGTGTTAATCAGTAACAAGTTACTTGTGATGCACCTTGCTTTTTTGTCAAGGCAGAGCAGTTAAGACCTCTCCAGTCAAGAATCTGCCATTTGAGCCGGGCTCGGTGGCTCAGCCTGTAATCCCGCACCTTTGGGAGACTGAGGTGAGCGGATTGCCTGAGCCCGCAGGTTCGTGACCCGCCTGGGCAACTTGGCAAGACCTCATCTCTACAACAAACCAAAAAATTAGTTGGGCATGGTAGCGCGTGCCTGTAGTTCCAGCTACTTGGAAGGCTGAGGCAGAAGGATTGCCGGAGCCCAGCAGGTCAAGGCTGCGGTGGCCGGGAGTGGCTATTGCACTCCAGTCTGCCGACAGAGTGAGACTCCAACTCAAAAAAAAAAAAGAGGCTGGGCTCAGTGGCTCAGCCTGATGCGCCGAATCTGCCATTTGTACACGGATATGTCTTACATAGGAAAGGGTGGAAGTTATCCTTTTGACTTGATCTTCAGTTTAGGGGATACATTTTTCACATCTCTTAATCATATAATAAATAATCCATGAATTTATCTGAACCCTCTGGAAGTCCACCATAACAAATTTTTATAGCCCAGCACTTGTTTTTGTTTTGTTTTGAGTTGGAGTCTTACTCTGTCACCCAGGCTGGAGTGCAGTGGCATACTCATGGCCACCCCAGCCTCGACCTACTGGGCTCCTGCAATCCTTTCACCTCAGCTATCCACGTAGCCGAAACTACAGGTGTGCACTACCATGCCCGGGCTAATTTTTTATTTATTGTAGAAACAAGGTCTCACCAAGTTGCCCCGGCTGGTCTCAAACCCTCAGTCTCAGGCAGTCCACTCACCTTGGCCTCCCAAAGTGCTGGGGTTACAGGCTGAGCTACTGAGCCTGGCGTTTTGTTTTTGTTTTTTTTTTTTTGAGTCAGAGTCTTACTCTGTCTCCGTCCAGGCTGGAGTGCAGTGGCACCTTCATGGCCACCCACCCCAGCATCGACCCACAGGCTCAGGCAATCCCTCCGCCTCTGGCTTCTAAGTAGCCAGAACTACAGGCACACACTACCACCTCTGGCTAATTTTTTGATCATGTAAAGACGAGGTCTCACCAAGTTGTCCCATTGTCCAGGCTGGTCTCGAACCCCTTGGCTCAGGCAGTCCTCTCGCCTTGGCCTCCCAAAGTGCTAGGATTACAGGCTTGAGCCACCATGCCCAGCCAAAGTTCCTTATCTTTTATTTTTGTTTATCTTTTTAGAGACAGGGTCTTACTATGTTGCCCTGTCTGGAGTGCACTCGTTATTCACAGGTGCAATCATACTGCACTACAACCTCAAACTCCCTGGCTCAAGTGATCTTTCTGCCTCGCTCTCCGAGTAACTGGGACTACAGGCACATGCTGCCTTGCTTGGCTTAAGATATCTTTAAATATAGCAACACATTGAGTTAATATCCCCAGTAGGCAATTGATAATGACTCAAATTTTTGGTTACTCAGTTGGAGCTGATAATTCAGTCAATCATCATATAAATAATACAGCTTACTAGTTAAGACATAGGCTTTGGAGTGAGGCCAAGCGCAGTCTGAATTCTATCTAACAATTATGAGCTATGACACTGAACGGGATACTTCACCTAAGTCTTAGCTTCCACTTTTTTAGAGATACTGATGTTACTTATGTATCTTAGAGTTGGTATAAGGACTAATTAATGCATGTATCACATTTAGATAGTATCTGGAAATGATAAATAATAAATTTTAGGTATTATCTATGAAATACAAAGTTTGGTTTACCCATGTAGATGTCAGAAATTTAGGCTGCATCCTCCCATTTGTCCTTGGCCACCAGGGGGCACCATTGCCCCTGTCCATTTTAAAGAGGTCCTTCCAAGGTCACGATGACCTCAATGCTCAGCTTTCCCTTGCTACTTCTAGTTCCCAGGCACTTCCCTGTATTTGGGCCTAGAGCTCACTTGCTGCTTTATTCATGCCAATCCTCCTCCCTTAATATTCTCTCCACCTCTCTGTGAGTGTTCAGAAAGAAACTAAGCCAGCTCCTGGGAGATCCC